AGTCAACGAAATAATTCTTCGTCAAACGCAAGTGCAGGACATTCATCCAGGACTTACCTTGATCAGCTAGCCGGGCAGACCGGGAACGCTGGATGGAGACGCGATGGACTCCAGGGTGAGACTCAGTAGTAGCCATGATAAGATAAGGTCGGCGCCGTGATGCGGGGAGTATGAAAAGACGGCGGATAGAGGCATTCCCGATGGAAGTAAGTCAAAGGAAAAGAAGAAGGAAGGGAAGAAGATGATGAAAAAGAGTTACGGTCGGTGGCAGAGATAATAGTGGTGACGACCAGTGGGATGAACCAGCCGGAAGCTTAAGGGAAGAGAGTCGAGAAACGAGTGTGTCGTCTGTGACGTCGGTTGCAGAGGGCAAATCCACGGATGTTACCTCTCAACGATCATCGATCAAGCATTGAGCCTCGTCGATAAACTCACCTCGCTGATGTCATGATGTCGACGTGAGAATTGAATCCACTCTACGATGAAGTTTAGAAAGAGAAGGAGAAGAGTGTTACACTCTCTTCAAACCCAGCCTGGTTGTGTCGGTGGTGTGTCTCGCGGTCGAGTCATGATGCTTCCATCCCACGTTCACATTCTTTGTCTCGCCTCTCTTCCGTTTTCGACCATGGCGAAGATCGCACTAGTGTTTCTATTATTCTATATCTCAGATAACCGTCCCTGCAGATGGATCGTCTCCACTATCTTTCATTTTTGGCAGTTTCCAGACTTTAACCGTCTGTTCTACGCTGATTTCAAAAGCGAATCCGCTCGATTGAAGCATAGATTCGGATGCATGCCGCTTTTCGTTCGAGTGCTCATTTTACACATTAATCAGAGGTGCTAATAATAGTCGAAACAAGGCTTCAGATTGACAGATTAAAATTAGTGTAGTGCGGGCACATGCCGGCTCAGTTGGGAGTTATAAAACGACATCGCACAGGCATTGCTCCCATTATATCGTAAATGAACCGGCAAGGATTACCAGAGATGCAGCTTCTTCAAAATATTGTAACGCGTGAAGAATGACCGATTTCGTTTCCCGAAAATATCTGAGTGGCTTAGTTAGCTGTAGATGCAAAAGCTTCAGAGTAGCTCGAAAGGAACACTCACACATGGGAATGCTCAAGAGACAGACACCCATCTGGATACTGGAGATAGCTAGGAATGCCGGTCTGATCCCGTGTTTTATGAGCCAGTCATATGCGAAAAATGTCAGAACGAAACTGAATATGTTCTTGAAGATCAATAAGCACGTGAACGCTTCAACGGCGATTTGACCTGTATCAAACGTTATCAGCAACACTGCCCGTAAGTTTTATCGTAGGAAGAAGGTTTCAACTCACGGTGTGCATCGACAATGTACAAGGCGCTCGCGACGGCACCCATGACCATTCCTATGATGACAAAGGCAAAGAAGACGTCCGGCACAAGCCATCCATATCGGTTCACGTCCTCTGCCACAATCCCAAACCCGTAGAGGCCAGCGCCGCTGAAGATCAGTTGGAAGATAACTAGCAAAATACGGAACTCGGGTTCGTATTTGCCCTTGTTGAGTCTTATCATGACCTTGTTCAACGAATCTGACAGTAGGCCAGACAGTATCAGGCCTAAGATAGAGCCGATGAAGGCGCCTGTGTAGAGATATCCTGTCTGCACCTCGTTGAACCATAGAGGAGGGCCCAGGAAGATGGCAGCCAGGACAACACCGATGAAGACAGTCCAACCAATGATAACGCCTTGTATCAAGCAAGCCTGTAGCAGTCAGAAATAGCCCTCACATATGAACTGTGGGAGAAGAGAGGACTTACCCAGAGGATGCCAGGATGGAAGAATAGGGGAAATGGTCTTAAAAGCAGTTTGAAAAAGTTCTCGTCTGTCTTCCGTCCATTGAAAAGCTTCAGAGTTTCCCAGTACGTGGCCTTGCGGGAAACCGTAGGTTCCTGACAGGCTCCATCTTCTCCTCGAGAGGATTCTCCTTGCGGCTTCTCGTTGGTCCCAGGTACGGATTGCTTCTGCTCTCCAGAGATTTGGCTCACTTCAGAAGTCGCATATCCGGTGGGCTGCAGTTGCGTATGTGACTGGCTTCCATCACGACGGCCGTCGAGATGCTCAAAGTCTGTGTTGAAATGGTCGGCGCGTCTGAAAGCCGTCTCGGGGATTAGGAAGATCGTCATGGGCAGACAAGCAGCGGTAAAGATCGCCACTAGGTAAAACGTCCATTGCCAACTAAGCGAATGTGTGATCTTGCCAGCCAAAACCGGTGTGAGGAAGGCGGCGCCGAAGACGGCAACATTCGATAAGGCCATCCGCTTGCCCCGTTCCTGGCGTAATGGTCAGCCGAAATCCGTGAGGTAGTGCAGTTGGAACCTACATGGACAAAGAATAGATCACCAACACAGGCATTTGTCAAAGCTTCGAATGGAGCCAGTGCGACTCCTTGGAAGATCCGGGCCCAGAGAAGGCTCTGGTAATTCTGGCCGCTTCCACCAGCCCACGCGCAGCTCACAACCATCAGAATATTTCCAAGGATGAAAAGATGTCGCTTGCCCCATACTCGTGCAGTCGGTACTATTAGCACACCAGCGACACCTACACCACAGAGGTGGTAGCCAGTGAGGAGAGCAACGGACGTGAAACTCTTCCCATAGTAAAGAGCAATGGTCACAGTGTTGGCGGCCATGAGCGAGCTAGTTGTTGCACAGAGGACTGAAACGAAGCAAAGCGCGAATAGGATTATATCGCGCCTCCATAACGGCCAATTCTAGGGGCGGTTCTCAGTATCGAGCTTTGCCAGTTGTATCATTTCCTTTACTTACCAGAGGATCGTTCGGGTCGTCGCTTGGCTGTGGTACCAGAAGTATAGGAACGTCGCCTGAGCGATCATACTTGAGGTGCGAATCGAGAGCGGTATAATCACTCGTTCGATCTTCGAGGATATAGGATGTGCCTAGCCAGAATGTATCAAAAAACAGGGGTCCCGATTGTACAAGTCTTTCTGTAAAGATGTAGATCAGAGAACTTACCAGGAACATGGTCAAGTACCTTGTCCTCGAGCACACCTAGACCCATGTTGATTGGGAGTGAGGGGCTGAAGGTATGTCAACCAAAGCAATGCTCACTGACTTGTGGCGGGGCGAACAAATAGGTAGATAAATTACGGAGGTAACACGGGCTTGTGCCTGGCTAGAGGCATGAATCAACGGCCAACAGTCTTGTGATACACATTATAATGACTGAAATTGTGGAGGTGGAGTTTGGTTAACAAATGCGAAATTTTTGCCGAGGCGAGAGTAAAGAGCCTAGATTAAGCTGTCCATCTTAGAATTTTGAGAGTGACGCGTCTACGTCACAGGGGCTGGCTGCATTTATGAGATATTGATCCTGGACAAAACGCCGTGGAATCCTCCGCAGTGTCGATCAGCAGGGGCATTGAGGGACTGGATTTATGGGCGCGACATGTTTACACAGCTTGCGCAGGATCACCCGATACCACTATGAGCTGTTGGAGACTTGCTTTGCCCAGCCGTAGTGACCATCACAGAACTACGTATTACCTGCTTAGTTTTGCTGTACCTTATAATTTATTGTAATATTGATATTTGATACCAAGTGCTTAAGTCGCTACGCCACTGTACTCTACCCTTCCTAGATGTCGTGGATCAATGGAGGTGGCACAGCATTCCTTTGCAGAAAGCCAAAAATACCAACTTCTCATTGGACAATGTAAGGTACGCTGGGATACTCCGAGATACCAATACATGTTTTACATTTCGAGTGAAGTCAAAACATGGACCGCCGCAACGGATGCTCCCTGCAGCTGAGTTCAGCGATAACCATTAGAAAACGTGGTGTGGAGTGTAAAGCAAAGCAATGAGCCTAAAAACATTTCACTTAAGCCTTGACAAGAGTAAATTATTGCATCCTTTGCCAAGTTGGTCTAAGAATCTGGTAGTCTATATGTTTCCTAGTCAGGTGGTCAAGGATGAGGGACAAGGGTCTGAGCCTGGGACAATGTTGGGTGGAGCAATTGGGATGTCCGGGAGAGGAGAAACCTCGGGCTTGGTGGCACCAGGAGTCCAGGCTAGCGATTTCACGGCTCCCTGATAGGCTGATGGCTAAATAAAATCCGGGGATGGGCCAGATTTTTGAGCAAAAAAGGCGACCGGTGGGGTCGAACTGAAGGGACTAAATACTTTTTGACCATTCGCTGGACGCTTAGACGGAGTAGTGCATAACCATACCTTAACCATGACGAGCCAGGGTTCCAATGCAGGAGAATGGGGACATAACATTTGAGGGAAGACTCAGGGACTATCTACTCAGAGACCGTCTTTTACACGGATTCTGAGTATGTTTCTCATGATGAATGGTGATAGGCTGGTCTTAGCTATTGATCTGCCAATAAATTCCTCACAAAGAGCTGGCCCCTGTCTCATACAAGTAAGGTACTTGTAGAAACCGTGTTCCAGAGCCATGAATGAATAGAGTTTAGAAGACACCGGATAACAACAGAAAACAACAGTGTTAATGCAAAAAGCTACACATCCACTTGGGCCCAGGGACTTATTATTGCAGATGAACAACCATAAGGATAACTCCAACAGGCATGAATAGTAATAACAAGGAGTCAAGAGCAGTAATTAGTAGTTCTATTCGACTATGAAGGCTTAATCAACCGCACACTGGAATGGGGAAAGCAATGGAAAACTGGAAGAAACTAGAAAACAGACTAACCATCAGAGAGGTACCACACATCCCTACCCAGGCATGATTATTATTCGCTAGATACTAGATAGGGTGTACATTCATCGGCCTGCTGGCCAGATCGTCATGGCGCCAGTTACCACCCACTCCATCGTATTTCTACTCTTTCTGACCCTGTCCCCTCACCAACCCTTCTACACCTTCATCTTCTCCCGACAGACCTTGCTCTAAGCCCACCTTGAGCCTACGTTCTTACCACGATTTCAATCAATTGAGCATCTTAGCAAGTCCTCATAATGAAGCTTTACTCTGTCGCCCTTGCTCTTGCGGCTTGCCTGAGCATGGCAGCTGCCCAGGGCCTTGACGGTCTGCCTGATTGTGCTGTAAGTGTTGCCTCTCATTTATGTGTCCAAAATGCTACTGAGTTGTTTCTTCTGTGTAGAGAGACTGATACACGTTACTAATGATCTGAGGTAGAAATCATGCGCGACAGATTCCATCCCCGCTAGCTGCGGTCTTGACGTGAAGTGCATCTGCACCGACACGTCCTTCATTTCGGGTATTTCGTGCTGCATTCTCAAATCGTGCCCTGCAGACAAGCAGCAGGGTAAGTTCTCGTTCTTGCTGTTCTCGGGACTCTACACGCCTACACATAACCCTTGATTCTCCGCCTCTACGTTATACTCAGAAGAAGAAGACGCTCACCCATTCTTTCCACAGCCGCCGTCCAGTTTGCGAACCAGATATGCAAAACCGCCGGTGTGACCAACATGCCTCAGTCTCCCAGCTGCGAAAACGAAAATCAATCTGCCACTGGCACATCCTCTGCATCCTCTACAACCACTTCTGATTCTTCCACTTCTGATCCTTCTACTTCTGATTCTTCCACTTCTGGTTCTTCCACCAAGACGGCTACCAATGAGTCCAACACCTCCCAGACCGCTGCGACTGCAACCACTTCTACGACTTCTACCACTGGCTCCGCGACCTCGTCTGCTACTTCGGCCGCCCACACCAGTGCCGGGGCTGCCGTTTCTCAGCACAAGGAGATTGGTCTCCTTGCGGCTGCCGGTGCGGCTGTTGCGGCTTTCGGCATGCTCGCTTAGGGGCCATGGGATTCGCGCCATGGCTGGACTGTTTGTCATTCTTGATGAAATACAAACACAAGCTGAACCGTTTATGGGAAACGAAGTGCATATGGCAAGAAGTGCTCATAATTGTGAGCCAATTTCCGCAAGTTGTCTTATGACTCTGATGAAGATCGTGGGGGGATCGGTTTCCGCTTGAAACGCATATGCTACTTAATAGTCCGCGAACATGAGTTTTCGCTGTAACATATCAGAATTGCTGTGTAGTCTAAGAATTCGTCGTCATTCTCCAGTGTATAATGCTCTGTAGATTATGTGCAACGCGTGGATCCAATGTGCATCAACAAAACAACGGACGACAACCGCCTATTCTTCTCGTTCCACGAAGCGAGCAGCTATCTCCTGCCGCTCTTCGCGGAGAGTGATGAAAATCTACCACGGATCAGCACAACTCAGCGGAGGCTCGCAGATACAACCACTGGTGGCCAGCACACCGGCACGACTTACCCAGAGCCAGAACATCATCTCCATAAAACCATACGTAAATACAACCCTATTCTTCAGCTGGTCCAAGCCCGATGTCGCCTCTACCGAGCCATACCCGCCTGTCCTGCGCGCGGTACCCACCCCCCAAGCATCAGGTTTACTCTGGTAGATGAAAAATGAGACAGCAAAGAACAGACAGAACCGGGCTGCCGAAAGCAAAGTCCAGATCTCCGAGTAGAGTGCGGCGAGGCGCGCGGCGAAGGGGTTTTGCATCGCGCTGGACATGGGTGTGGCAGATTGGCTCCTGGCCGCTTGGGCCATGGCGACGAGCTCGTTGACCCGCGGGATTTTTGCGACGATGATCAGATCGACGAGGGCGTCGGCGATGAGGAGGATGCCGCATAGCGCAAAGGGGGATTGAGGACGGGAAAAGGACGGGGCTGCATCCTGTTTTGTGTCGTTGAATTCTGTCAGTTTGATTGAGGCGGGATTTGGGCTGAATAAGATTAGAGAATCCTCGGACGTACGATCTGTAGGACTTCTCCTATCATGAAGACAACGTCTGATTCGGTGACTGTGCTTGGAGATCTGGTCAGGTACACGGCCAGAACAAACAGAAACAGGGCGTGCGCCTGAATGAGTGTCTTGGAGGAGAGAAGAGCCATGTTAGATGAAGATAGAGAAGATTAAAAAAAAAATATTCTATATACAAGTCACAGCAATAGCTGCGTATAGCCCTGGGAGCTATCGATAGTTATCGTTCATGTCCTTGACTTTGTAGCTGCTGCCACTTTTTTTACGTCCGATGTCTGGATCCATCTTGTGGGGTTACCGCTGTTTAAGTCCGGAGCCCGCCCGCAAAATAATAATGATAACAAGAAGGTGTAATTCAAGCTACGGACTCCAGGAACTCGCTCCTTCGCTTGTTCTTAGCTTCATCTCCATTTGATGTGACAAGCAGATGCGAGATTTGTCAAGCGCGGCAACATGACAGAGGCTGTCTTTAACAAAGAACGTCACATCAAATACTACCTCCGCTGTCTCAAGACGTTCCTCCCCCACCAATACACCTCCAATGACTCCAATCGCATGCTCCTCGCTTTCTTCACAATCTCCGGTCTGGACATTCTAGGCGCGCTGGACAGCAAGATTACCGTCGAAGAACGAAAAGGGTACATAGACTGGCTCTATCACTGCCAGGTTCCATCGGGGGGTTTCCGCGGGTTCACGGGGACAGATTTTGGGATTGACAAGCGCACTCCGGAGAATGAAGCTTGGGACCCGGCGAATGTCCCGGCTACATTCTTTGCGCTGGTATTGCTGCTCATCCTGGGCGATGACCTGTCGAGGGTGAAGCGCATTGAATGTCTTCAATGGTTGCCCAAACTTCAACGTGAAGATGGCAGCTTCGGAGAAGTGCTTGGCCCTGGGGGAGAGGTCATGGGTGGTCGCGACTTGCGGTTCTGCTGCTGCGCAGCTGGGACGCGCTATATTCTGCGAGGGAGGAGCGGGAGAGGCCTTGCGGGTGTGAGCGATATTGATGTAGGCAGGCTCGTGGAATTCATACAGGCTTGTCAGGTTCGAAGATTCTTAAATGTTGGGTTATGGCTGGAAATGCTGATACTTGGATCTGGTAGACATATGACGGGGGAATGTCGGAAGCACCCTTTTGTGAATCCCACTGTATGTGCAATGGACTCTGCCATAAATGACTGGTTCTGACTGAAGACAGCTGGTCTGACCTATTGTGCCATTGGCGCCCTAACCTTTCTTTGCCGTCTTTCCAAAGACCAGGGACACATGGCGCTTCTTTCCCCAGGGAGTTGGGAATTCGAACATTTGCTCAAATGGCTCGTCTCCAGACAGACGTCTGATTTGGGTGAAGAGGAGGAGTCGGATGAGGAAGACGATAGTGCACCTGAGCAGAGTGATGGTTTACAACGTGATACAGGCAACCTCAGTCTTGATGAGAAGATTGCCTTGCTTCCCAACTTTCCCCCGCTAACAGAAGAATCTCTGAACTGGGCAGGTTTCAATGGGCGATGCAACAAATATGCGGATACATGTTACTCGCTGTGGAACACGGGTACGCTCGTAGTAAGTGTTTACCGATCTAGCGATGGTGAACGCTACTAACAGGATTAGATGATGGACCGACTACCTCTTATCGATCAGCAGCGCAACCGGCAATATCTGCTCGAGAAGACACAGCACATTATCGGCGGGTTTGGGAAAGGCATTGGTGAGCCTCCAGGTGAGATCTCAGAGCTCCTACGACATAGAAGAAAGGGTTTGTTCTAACGGTCAATGCAAGACCTTCTACACTCGTTTGCTGGGCTGGTATCTCTCGCATTTCAAGGAGAAGAGGGTCTGAGCAGTGTAGATCCTGCATTATGCGCCAGTCACCGGGCAGCTCAACATATGCAAAGTCTTCCCTGGTGGCAAAGAGACGAATTGATGCTCTAATTATGGTGGATGGATATCCAAATAGCACGCTGTTCGTATTATCCGAGATCGTAGCCTGGGCTAGAAGTCTTGCCAATTTATACCCCAAGTCGTTGATTTTTTATTTCATGACACTTCAGAGCAATACGTAGCTCCAAGTTGGTCTTTGAATGGGAAGGATTTAGATTACTCAAACAATATTAAAATCTAATATTCGATCGATAAATAGCGAGCGAGCCACTTCCCGTGTCTAGGGGCTAGGAAGTGTTCTAGAAGACGGGGAGTGGCCCATGTCACGCACCGTTAGGACCGGCCGGGAGCCGTCGTCATCGTAATTTATCTCTCTACCATTCAGGGGCTCGTTTATCGACCACACGAGCAGCACTGAGAGCCACTTACTCAGTGATGATATCAGTACAGTCAAGGAATAACATGCTATCCTAGATACGTAGACGTAAAGTGAAGATCTGAGCTCTCTGCTAAGGGATCCTTGTGTATGAAGCCCTCAACCTCCTCGGGCGATTGATACTGGGTGGTGGTGGTTGATGATGATGTCGACGTCGAAAGACTCGAAGGTCGAAACGGCGCACGTTCCCACCTGCAAAATGAGCATCATGGTCTGTTTGTCCTCTTACTGGCTGTCAGTGGTTCATAATGGATTGTCCGACAATTGGCTTGTGTGAAATTGTCCGTACAGCCCATATGCAGTAGGCAATTATGTCCATAGGTAGAGAGGTAGATTCTTTAAAAAACCAACTAACCTGTTTAATAACAGTTCCCCTGGTTCATCGTCATCGTCGTGATAATAAGGTACGTACCTCCAGATAGCCCCCTGTTGGCTGGATAATCAGAAGGATAACAAGAAGACGAAGAGTAATAATAATAATAATAGTCATTGTCATTGTCATTGTCATAATCATTGACATCTGTCCAAGCCGATGCGGAATCAGGTTGTCCGTTGACACTCGAAACAAACCAACTTCTTGTTTCATCATATTATTCTCCGCCATATCCAATAGATATAGGTATGTATTGCTAGCTTCTTCTCCTTTCTTGACCAATTTTCCCCCTCTTGTCTTTATACAGCATCTCTTTCTCTTTCCATCTTGATATTATATTTCGGCCTGTTTACTAATAATAATCTCTGAGCTTCTCATCTTCAAGTCATTCCGACCTCCTTCCGATCCTTTTCCACAAACAGCTGCCGTCCCGTCCATCCTCCACCTCCACGTCGTCCTGTTGGGCCCGAAATTTCCGCTTCGGACAAGGGAATTTTTTTGCGTCCTTCTCACATCGCTCTGCGAGACGTCTCCCTTCCTTTGCGGAGACTTGAATGAGTTATAGCCAATTCCCTAACTGTTAAACCATTGCGGTCCATTTTGCCCGGTCCGTCCGTCTATGCGATCCGCGATCTGCCAGCCATCTTGCGCGCCGCCGTCCATCGCGTTAAACTCCTTGTTCTACTACGCTTCTTCGTCCGTCGGCTCCATCCCTCCCCCTGATCGCGATACTCCTCGCCTGTCCCGCCTCAGGTTGGATGTCAGTCTCAAGCGGTCATCGTCGTGATAGTCTTTCGTCACAACGTCCCATCGTGCGCATACATCATCTCCGCGGGAATCTCCAAATCAGGCGGAGACGAAGTCATAACACATGCCGTCGGCCAGGACAAGAGCGGAGGTTCAATCCCAGAAACAAAAAGAAAAGGTTCGTCTAAGGCATTGATATTTGATGCATCATAAAACGGTCAACCTAAGGCTCGCATCTTCTACGAGACCCCACATTCAAACTCTATTGGGCCAACCCATGTCAACTGGCTGTAGTTATTGCCAACCCATCTGTCATTACGCGGTCTCTCGTGTGTCCTGATGTTTCCCTGTCATAAATCCCTAGACGTTTGATATGCTGCTTATTTTCGCCCTATGGTGCTGTTGAAATGAATGTTGCTGACTTTTGGCGATTGTGTTCCGCCGTAATAGCTCGCCAAATCATACCATGAGTTATTGGAGTAAGCTGCCACTTTTATACCCCAAGCTCTGCCAAAGCCCTACGATTCTAATCAACCCTGCGTTTCCAGGGAGTTCTCGTCGAAGGACCTTCGAACCGTTGGTAACTACACCCTTGGAAGGCTGATTGGGAAAGGCTCCTTTGGCAAGGTTTATCTTGCTTCCCACAAGCTCACCAATGGTTCCAAGGTATCATCCACCCCACGGCCGATATAAGACGCGGACCTATTCTAATTGGGTTCGTCCATAGGTTGTGCTCAAGTCCTCCCCAAGGGAGGATACGAACCTGCCGCGCGAGATTCATCACCATCGCCAATTCCTCCACCCACATATTGCCCGTCTTTATGAGGTTATAGTGACAGAAAAATTGGTCTGGCTTGTACTCGAATACTGTCCAGGTAGGGAACGGTTGTAACGTGATGCAGTCGGCTACCGCTGACAAGGACGATGCGCAGGTGATGAACTCTACAACTACCTTCTCCGCCATGGCCCCCTCCCAGTCGACAAAGTCAAGAAAATATTCACTCAGCTAGTGGGCGCAGTCGCATACGTGCATAGCAGGTCATGCGTTCATCGCGATCTCAAGTTGGAGAACATCCTCCTCGACAAGCACGAGAACGTCAAGCTCTGCGATTTCGGGTTTACGCGAGAGTATGATGGCAAGGCAAGCTACCTACAGACTTTCTGCGGTACGATATGTTATAGTGCACCCGAGATGCTGAAGGCAGAGAAGTACGCCGGAGAGAAGGTGGACGTATGGAGTTTAGGCATCATCCTCTATGCGCTTCTCGCCGGGGAGCTGCCGTTTGACGAAGACGACGATCAAGTCACCAAAAAGAGGATTCTCACCGAAGAGCCAGTCTTCAACGATAAATTCCCTGACGATGCCAAGGCCCTCATCAACTTACTCCTGTCCAAGCGACCTCTTCTCCGGCCGAGCTTGGCCGATATACTGGCTCATCCGTTCCTTGCAGAGCATGCCCCGGAGCAGCAAGCAATTCTTAAAATCCCTCGTCCCGCGCCTTTCTCGACGCCCTTGGAAAGAACTACCCTACAGCGGATGAAAAGCGCTGGAGTCAACGTCGACGAGGTCGTGGAAAGCGTTCTTGCGCAACGATGCGACCCGCTCGCCGGCTGGTGGGCTCTCCTCATTGAAAAAGAGCAGAGGAAAGAGCTCCGGAGGGAGCGCAAGCGACGGGAACGAGAGGCCGAAGCGAAGAACTTGCGACGACTCAGCGCCGCTAGTAGCCGCTTGGAGAAGATCTCTGCTGCACTCCTTGAAGTGGATGAGGAAGGACATGCGTCTCCGGGCATATTGCTTCAGGAACGTGGAAGAAGGGACAGGCGCAGTCTTCCCTCTCAGCTCGCTGTCCCGGAACTGCCAATGCTCCCTGAGCCTGTTCCCATACAGCCTTTGGATGTGACCATCCCGGCGCCGCCGCCTCCTCCACCTGTTGACAAGGACTCGGTCCGATCTGGCAGCTCAACAAGACGTCGTCCAGTACCCCCTCCAAAAGATAATACGCGACGGCCGAGCACACTGCATGCTAGTGCGTCGCAGCCGGAGTTGGCACAGCACAACGGTATCCTCAGGCGTCGAACTGGACGCCGTCAATACCCGATCATCAGTCAGCTCGCATCGCTGAAACATTGGTTTATGGAATCTGCGAAGAGGGCAAAGTCTCCTCATCCCAAATCAGCGGGGGGAGGGCATCGCAAGTTCTTCTCCGACAGACTGAGTCCGGGGAAAGGGCAAGAAGCCGGGAAGAAACCAGCGCCAACCTCACCAAATATCCCTCCTGCAGGCGATCTAGCGACTCCGACGCAAATCAAGCGCGCATCTAACGCCAGTAGCCTTGCGCCAAGCAGCGCCTCCTACTCCAACAATCGTCATTCATATCCGCGACAACCTCGGCCGCTGAGTACTGGCTATCCGAGCCATCGTAATTCCCTATCTCCGTCTCCAATCACGCCAAGGGGCTCGTACAGACGATCCTCCACGGGACTGCGAGGTCGCAAATCCACCTCGTCTTCTGTCTCCTCCATACGAAGCATTCATCATACGCACACTCACTCCAAAGCCTCTTCTGTCTCCTCAAACAGCATTGGATCCGCATCGACCCCGACGGCTCGGCCTTCGAGATCCCCGCACTCCTCGATCAAAGTTCTCCCTACAACACCCAGCGCCTCTGCACGCTTTCCCAGTAACATTCGCCTTGTACGGAATGCAAACCATGGATTCCGTGATGCGCACGATGCGAACGGAAGGATGCAATCTGTTTTCAACGAAGCAGCGCCCACGCCGTTACTCTATTCGCCCTCAAGCAGCCTTGTGTTTGCCAGGCGCAAAAAATCTGCCTTCCGAGGTCCTATGTTACACACAGCGAATCTCATGGCCTCTGGTGGCATGGCCACAACGGAATTCCCACACGACAATGCTGCGATAGATCCGGCCCATGGTGCAGGCAAGGCTCGGGCTGCAACGCGGAAAAGTCAAATTATCGAAGAAGAGGAGGATATGGCAGAGGAAGATATTGAGGAGGTAGAGACTTTTGACGGTCCAGATGAGGATCCAGGCTCGCCAGTGGATGCTATCATCAGGCCTGAGGAAGAGAGTAAGCCTTTCGACTGTTCTAGTGATTTACCGAGCAACTATCAAAAACCATCGCTCGCCCCTGCGCCGGATATCGACACGAGCCCACTTCGACCGCCTCGCTCTTCCTCCCTGAAAGCATCAAGAGCAGGAACAGCAGATGCGCCAGCTCTGCACGATGAGGACAGCAAGACCGTTGTTGTCACCTCCACAAACGCTGTGGCTCCCTAGGGTTCGTCTTGTGTCGACAAATCGAATTGGACAGACGAACAAGTTCCATGTCAGGTGACCAATGACCTCTCATAGAATCATTTATTTGTTTTGCGCTAGCCTTTATACCCCTTTTTGCGGCAATGTGGCATCGGCTTTCTTGAATACCTGTATTACTTTGGATTTGGTGGAGATACGAACGGTATACGCCTTTTCATCGTCTGCCACGAATTCACTCATTTCCGTTCTTTTCCTTTTTTCCCTCCCATCGAACCTTTGCGTCACTTCATCGGGTTTCTGTCTGATACAAACTCTTCCCTCTGTACCTTGCTGATCTCTTCTTCCACCACCTTTCATTTCCTCCGACTCTATTCCGCCGTGGAGATACCCTCGATTTGACTATTTTCGTTTTTCCCCTGCCTGTTCGGGCTGGTACCCGATTGAGCACCGAATATGATATTTAGCGCACAGCGCATTCATCCCGTTGTTGTCTAGATGCTGACAGTTCATTCAAGCTTTTTGCTTCTGTTTGTTTGCCCTCGTCATATACATATGTTCATATAGATAGAGTAGATTCCATCAAAACTTGTTACGCAATAGACATGCACCGGCTGTTAGTGTTGATTGGAACGATTCGTCTTAGGTATAGATCATATTGCATCATTATACTCATCGGAAATACAAATGTACTGTCAATTTGTCATCATCAATGCTCAATGTGGACGGACGCCTCTGTCGATTTCTCCGTCCCCCGAGCCTCCACGTCCTTCATTACTCCATCACCCTCGATCAACCCGATCTGGCTGTCGCCGACCTTGTCGACGGTATCGCGGTAGGCAGGCACAAAGTTGACGGCGACAGCATAGGTCCACGCAGCGACCATGAACATCGTGGGGACAATCATGGCGAAGCCCGTGCTGTTGTGCATGTCGGCCACATGGCCCAGGAGCGGCGGCACGACAGCACCACCGCAGACACCGCCAACGATGAAGCCAGACCCGCGCTTATAGTGCCGGCCCAGACCGCGGATGCCCAGCGCGACGATTGTGGGGAAGCAGACGGATTCGAAGAACAGGGTGACGAAAAGCATGGCTGTTGGGAATCAATCATCAGTCAGTACGTGTCCGCAAGCACAGGTAAAGGGGGAGGGAGCGCATACCGACACCAGTCTGATACTTTTGGGTGATGGATGCAGCGAGGAACGCCACCACCCCCGAAAGGTATACCAGAAAGACCCAGCGTGCGCGCATGTATTTCATGAGGAAGGCGCCGGTGAAGCGGCCGACGGTGAAAGCGCCCTGCGCGCCGGCGAGGTACTTGGAGCCCGTGGCGCTCGAGGTGCCGGGCCAGGTTTCGACGGCGTAGTTGATGAAGTAGCCTGCGATGCCGACTGTCGTGTGTGTTAGACGGGGCGGTATGTTATACAGAAGATAAAGATTGACGCACCTTGGGCACCGGTGTATGTGAACTGAGCGAAGGCGGCATGGAACAGCTTGTATTGCTTCCAGAGTGGCTTTTCCTGCTCGTCGACGTGGGTTTCGGCGACTTGGAAGGCCATGTCCTCATCGGTGACTTCGGGGATGTTGGATATGAAGAAGACCCCAGCAAGAAGGAAGACGAAGATGCCGATGGCAAGGTAGACCCATTGCACGCTCTTCAATGCTGCTACATCGTCCTGGGTATCTGTAAAGAAGACGTACGAGGCCAAGACTGGAGCGACACAGGTGCCGATGCCGTTGAAAGCCTGGGCAAGGTTGATTCGCAATTCAGCATATTTCGGTGGTCCACAGACTATCGAGCGCAGGTTAGCACGACTTCCTTTGTTCTACTGGCGTATGTTCATCATCTCTACTGACCAGTGAGGTACGGATTGGCAGCGGTCTCTAAAGAACCCAGCCCCGACCCGATAACGAATGTGGCCGCGCAGAAACCTCCAAATGACCGATGGAGGCCGGCCGGCCACATGCAGAGCGCTCCAATGCCATACAGGGTCAGTCCGAAGATAAAGACGGCCTTGTATCCGTAATGACGTAGAATCCAGTTGGCGTAACCCAGCGACGCTAGTGGATATGCCCTTGCAGCTAGTCAGTTCTACCACGGGTTCCAATATATATACACATATACATATGCACATGTAGTCGGCAACTCATACCCAAAATATGCGGCCTGAAGACCCGAGGAACGAGTCCGGTTGATGCCAAGTGTATTTTGGAAATGCTTGTTAAGAGTATCTAGCAGTCCATACGCAAAACCCTACACATGGGGAATGATCAACATATATTCGTCCAGGTTGGATCAGGCAATCCAGGCATCAACTCACCCACATAAAGAAGAGAATCGTGACCAGGGCGAGGGGCCACAGACTCTGACGCAAGGTGAGCGTAGCTGCAGAGGTGGTACTCTTATTGTTCACCCGGAGCGCAGAGCGGGATTTGAGCACCTGTGCGACCCCCATTTCAGCAATTGCGGAGGTTAATGGGCTGATGGTGTCTTGTAAAGGAATCCTTCATAAAGAGACGCAAGAAGAAAGACGGGATGAAGGGAGGGGAAAAGAGAAACAGTGACCAGGGTTACTCGAGGAACCAGACGCTTTATGTACTACTACTGCACGCCGTCAGCCGTGCTACCCCAAAGCGAAGATGATTGCTCTCTTGGATGTAGTGCCTTATCAAGGTCACAGTGGCCGGCAGCCACAGACCACATGGCTCGTCAATGGCACTCTGACCCATTCTGGTCATTTTCCGGTATGAGACCTCGAACCCCTCAGCCTATCACGACCTGACGACTTGAAGCAATTAGCCGGAAAAAAGGCAGGGATCCCAATTTCGGCCATGCAGGAAACCACAGCATTTGCCCCCGAGCGAAGAGGGTTCGATGGTGCATCCGTACGGAGTACACCCTCCACTTCCTCATGCCCCAGACTTCGCTTTCTCCGCACTCTGGGGAAGGATCGTCGGAGAAAATCCACCACTAAGCCACGCAGGGAACGCGCGAGTGTCTCCAATCCTGAGACTCCCAGAAGGGTCGATGATCATTGGACAGGGTTGCCCAACATGCCCCAGGTGTTTTAGGTCGGGGTGACATTCCTCGCAAAGACCGAGGTGGGAGTGCGGGTTCGTTTGTCTTTTCCCCCGCATTTGTAGTGGTTGAAATTGTCTTAAGGTTAACAACTGGTAAGTTTGGGCTTGCCCGGTTCGTACGTACGCACGTTGGTGGCTGAGCTTGCCGAAGTGGTCGAGAGTACGCAGTGAATCCGCTTTCGTTTCCTCCCCCAAAAACTTGACGCTGATTCCTCAATAGCTGAGAGCATCTGGAGGCAACAACCACAAAAGTATCAAATTGTATCTACTCATCACCACGCATCAGGGTCAAGTCGTTTCGTCATTTCTATACGTTAGGATCCTCTAGGTTTATACATATATACTTTCAGATGCCTGACGAAAGGAGAAAAAAGGAATGACAGGACTAATTCGCAAAAGGCCATTGTCTATATCTAGTCATCAACAGGCCCGTTGGTCATCACTTCATCGGCAAACGCCTATGCCTTCTTGGGCTTAAATGCCACCCCATTCTGCTTGTCCCCTGCATTCGCAGGAAGAGTATACAGGCGGCGTTCAGCATATTTAAGTAGCTCGTCAATGGCCCTTCATAAACTGTTAGCAACAGCGGGACTCGGAGTGAGGACGGATAAGGGCAAGACTTACACAACAGGAGCGCTGATCGCCAGAACCGCCTGCCATTCAGTCCAGTTCAACGGCAAAATAGAGAACAATGCCTGCAGGAACGGGATATACAGAATAGCGAAATGGAGGGTCATCGACAGAATGATGGCGTAGACCAGCATCATATTGTTCCAAAGAGGGAAGGCGAGGAGGGATTCGCTGGACGAGAGCGCGTTCATGGCGTTCAGCATTTCAATAACCACAAGGATTGAGAGCGACACGGTGGATGCGGACCGCGACATGTCGTTGGAGAACATTTCACAACCGATCTCGGGGAATTGAGCGGAGCATTTGTGGAAGTGGGACTATAAATATGAGTTAGACAGGCATGAAGAGGTCCCACCGAGACGATTAGCTTACCAGCTGCCAGAAGGAGATCTGAGGTCCCTCTGGATTATAAACAAACCACCATACGTAACCAAAAACAGTTGCAGCACCAACGTATGTGCCAATGACCAGGTATCTGAAAAGTAGCCAACCACCCACAAGAGGCTCATCGCGCTTTCTGGGCGCGCGTCTCATCACATCATGGTCAGGAGGGTTGAACGACAAGGCGGTAGCAGGCAACCCGTCAGTGACCAGGTTCACCCAGAGAAGCTGGACGGGGATCAATGCTTCGGGCATGCCCAGAGCTGCGGTCAAGAAGATAGATACGACCTCGCCAATGTTTGAGGAGATCAGATAGCGAATGAATTGCTGGGTGTTGCTGTAGATCGATCTGCCCTCTTCAACAGCCACGGTAATTGTCGCAAAGTTGTCGTCAGCCAGAACCATATCTGCAGCCAGCTTAGCAACATCAGTTCCCGTACCCATGGCGACACCAATATCGGCCTTCTTCAGGGCAGGAGCATCGTTGACACCATCACCGGTCATTGCAACCACATGGCCCAAGGATTGAAGAAGATCGACCAGCTTGGACTTGTGGCTTGGCTCGGTACGCGAGAACAGAGACGCCTTCTTGACGGCCTCAAGCTTTTCACTTTCCGAGAGGCTGTCAAATTCCCTGCCCGTCAAGCTCTTGCCCGTAAGGTCCTCATCCTGACCAAAGATACCGATTTGACGGCAAATAGATTCAGCAGTGTGGCGGTTGTCACCGGTGATGACAATCACACGAATACCAGCGGCACGGCATTTCTTCACAGAGTCAGCGACCTCGGTGCGTGGAGGGTCCAGCATTCCAACAAGGCCAATCAGAGTCATGTTCCTTTCCAGCTGAGCGTACTCCTCGGTGGTTTGGGCATTGTGCAAGAGGGGGTTATCCGCGATATCGTCAACACTAGCCAGAGCAATGACACGCAA